AAGGGAAAAAAAAGACATTAAAATCTAGAAGAATACTACCCTCAGACTGTGCTGCAGGTGCCTTTAATTTTGGTTCCACTTAAGTGGACTACATGTGTAGTGGATTGAATTATGTCCCCCCAAAACTCTCTGAAACTTGAATTGTGTCCCCCAAGTTTTATGTATTAAAAACAGCCCCCACTGTGACTGTTAAGAGGGTGGGAAGTCCTATTATGGTAATTGAAAGGTGGAGCCTTGGAAAAGGACATGAGTTTTGGGAGGCCAGGGGCAGAATGGAGTGGATTGAATTATGTCCCCCCAAAACTCCCTGAAGCTTGAATTGTGTCCCCCCAAGTTTTATGTATTAGAAACTTAGCCCTCACCGTGACTGTTAAGAGGGTGGGAAATCCTATTACGGTAAAGGTAAGGTGGGGCCTTGAACAAGTGATTGGGTTGTAGGACAGTGTGATAGTGAATGGATTAAAACTGGTGGTCAGGGGTGTGGTTCTGAGGGCTTTAAAAGAAGAGGAGAGTCTGTCTTTCTCTCTCTGCTCTCTCTGCTTCCACCATCTTGCAATATGAGACCCCTGGGTCACTCTTGCCACCACCAGATGGACTTTGGACTTCCCAGCCTCAGAAACTGTAAGCAATAAACTTTATAAGAAATCCTACATGGTACGTAATGTTTTTTTTAAAAAAAAGATCTCTAATCTCAGCAGAAAATACTAAAAGACCTTGCCTTTCATCAAAGATTAGTGAGTGAGAGCATGTTTATATTTTAATTTAAAACAAAATTACACACATATATGCATACATGTATTTGTATGTATGGATGGAGATGGATATGTGTGTGAGAGACAGAGATTTTTCATGACCCTCTCTTTCCAATCATGTCCCAAGCACACTTGAAAAGAGGACTTCTGTTGTAGTTTTCCTTCTGCACTTACCAAGATTGTCCTACTCTGAGACAGAGATTTTTCATGACCCTCTCTTTCCAATCATGTCCCAAGCACACTTGAAAAGAGGGCTTCTGTTGTAGTTTTCCTTCTGCACTTACCAAGATTGTCCTACTCTAGAGTGCTTTTATAGTTAGCTTCGCTAGAAGATTTCAGATGTGATGCCACTTGCTAAGGTTTATTTGGTTTTTATTTTGTTTAGTTTTGTTTTCATTTGCCAAACATTTATAGAGACCCATGAGAAAAGACTCCATTTTAAAACAATCTTTTGAAAAGAGAGAAAGGCATTGTCAGACTACTGGATGGATGAGGGAGGTCATGACCCCCCAGTGCTCTGCCCTTTCTGGCCCTGTCACACCTCCAAGCAGACCTTTTCTTTAACTGCCCCAGGAGCCCACGGAGGTGGCTCCTGCTGCTCCGAGCTTGCTGAAAGGCAGGCAGGCAGGAATGCAGACTAGAAGGTGGGCTTGATGTTCTCAAACTGTAGGCCAGCAGAGGATGAGGACAGCCTCGGGCCAGATGAAAAAAATGGCCTCTTGACCAGGCTCAAAGTAAATTTTTGACCCTTGCTTTTCCCAAACAGATGTGAGGGGCCTGAGGGGCCTTTGGAACTGTGAGGAGAATAATATCAGCAAATATGGAGACATTTCAAATCCTATCTAGCCATGCTCTCCTGCTCCCTAGCTTATCCAGCCACGAGTGACATGCTTTTTGTTGGACCCACATAAGTGCATGTATCCATGTTCTTGTGTGCACACGAGTATGTATGTCAAAGGCCTCAGATAAGGGTTACTTCAGCTTCAATCCAGACTGAGGCAGCCTCCTGATGCAAAATACGTTTTTTTCCTGAATACCTAAGGAATAAAACCAAACTGGTGGGAACCAGGCTGCTGTGAAAAGGTGCCCCAAACACCAGAAAGCTTCAAGCTTGCTTTCTGGGAGAACCAGACAGAAAAGACTAGGCAGACTGGAAGATGGAGTACAGCTTCATTTCAGCTGTCCCAGGAGGATCGTTAAGCTATTCAGGCTTCTTTCTGTTTTATCTTTGTTTTGGCTGGAAATGTGGGTCCCTGCAGTGCACAAAGCCATGGAAACCACTGTTCTCTCTCTGCCGAAGTACAGGGACTTCAGTAAGTGGATAAGGGTGAGAGGGCAACAAAGGGAGGGTATGAGTGGACACAGGAGCCCTATTTGGTTGCTCCAAGGAGTAACTGGACCCCTGCGCAAGAGATCCCTTAGCTCTCCAGAGAAAGAAATTGCAGGGGCACAAGTCATCCCCCCATTTTAGAAGAACACAGGAGTGCCCCTAGGAGGTTGGGGCCCTCTCTTATCAGAAAAAGGCAACCAAAGTACACAGACCATGCTTGGCTAACAGCTAGGATCAGCTTCTTGTTTATTATCTTTTTAACTAAGTGGATTAAATGAGAATTGACTGGAATTGTACACTTAGAGTTCCTTTACAAAATGCCATTATCTCATAAACTGGCTTAATGGAATAGGCTGTCTGGGGCTTATAAGAAGTAACTAAATACAGCACCTTACAGAGCAAAGATTCAAAGAAGTCTGTGCAGCCAGGCCTGGGATATCTCACACCTTGTGTGGCCAGAAAAGAAGGGCCTGAGGTCTAGCTGCAAACCACACTGTTAGCAAGCACCCCAGGGACAGTCCCAGGTCTTCCCCAGAAGAGCATTTGCTACTCCTTCCATTTTAAAAGCATTTCTTCAATTTAAAGATGAATTATGTTTTTCATTGATCTTCTATATATATGGTCTCAGAATATATGAAACACTAGCAGAGTGTAGTGATTAACAGAACCAACTTTGGAGTTAGACTGCAAGAGTTGGATTCTTAGCTTTACCATTTGCTAGTTGAGTGACTTTGTGCTACTTCTCGATGGTTCAATTTCTCCACCTGCAAAATAGGGATAATAATAGTGCCTACCACGTTGGGTTTCTGTGAAGACTAAATGAGCTAATACGTACAAATTTCTTAAAATAGTTCCTAGCATAGAGTGAGCATTGATTATAGGTATTACTGTATCACAGAAAGTAATTCATCTTATTTAATAGCTTTTGTCCCCACATTCCCTTTTATCTATTCATTGCAGCGTGACTCTGCATTCACAGATGAGATTTGGAATGGTTGGAGGCAGTGTACATGGAGGAGCTCAGGTCTGCAATCAGAGAGATATTACAGGCTCTGAATCCAGGCTACCTGTGTTCAAATTGCCATGGAAGCCTAGTATCCTGAGACAAGGATTTGGGTGCAAGTACTGCATTTGAAAGATATCTCCTGGCCGGCCCGGTGGCGCACTACTACAGTGCGCCAACCCTTGACCTTGGTGTTATAACACTGTGCTCTAACCAATTGAGCTAACTGGTCAGCCCCGCACGCTTAAAATGTATGCATTTTTCTATACATAAATTATATTTCAGTTTTTAAAAAACTATCACAGGGCCGAGCCCGTGGCGCACTCAGGAGAGTGCAGTGCTGGGAGCGCAGCAGCGCTCCCTCTGCGGGTTTGGATCCTATATAGGGATGGCCGGTGCGCTCACTGGCTGAGTGCGGTGCAGCTGGTCTCAAAAAGGACAAAAAACAAGGGCCGGCCTGGTGGCGCACTGCTACAGTGCGCCGCTTGGGAGTGTGGCGGCGCGCTCCCGCCGAGGGTTCGATCCCACATACAGACCGGTTCCCGCTCACTGGCTGAGCGAGGTGCGGGTGCAACACCGAGGGTTGCGATCCCGTTGCCGGTCCCGGTCCGGTACGGGCGCGACACTGAGGGTTGCAATCCGTTGCCGGACACGAAAAAAGACAAAAAGGAAAAAAAAAAGAAAGATATCTCCAAAGCACAGTCTGGAAGTAGGGAAGTGAGACAGAGAAGAAGGAAAGCCAATAAAGGGGGTGTAAGAATGAGTGAGTTGGTGTTGTGGGCAGCTAAGGCTCAGTCCTGCTGGGGCCCCTCGAAAAGGCTGTGGAGACCACAACTCAGAATTGTCCCCCCAAGGGATGAGAAAGGGGGATTGTTCCTGTGAGCATTGACTCCCCAGCACCTCTAGCCTGCTCTATATGCAGGCCAAACATGCTGCTACAACTAGAGAGAGCCCTCATACAGAAAGAGAGAGACACACAGACAGACAGACATGCAGGTACCTGAGATAGGAAGCAGTCAGAGTAATGGGAACTGTTCACCAAACCTGCAGGTGACTCCCAGGGTAGCTGAGGGACATGGACAAGACCCTGACTGTGTCTGATTGCAGGAGAGTTACTTAACCTGCACCTCAGTTCCTGCATCCTTAAAATGGAGAAAATACTAGCTCCTACCTCATAACGGTGATGTGAGAATTACTGACTTAAGCTCTCTGATGTATTTAAGAGAGTTGAGAATGCAATTTTAATCTGTTTCTGTTTTTTTAATTTCTAATTTATCTATAATCATTTCTCTTCTGTAAATGAGCTTCTAGCAAAATAGAGAATAAATCCATCTATTGTAAGTTTCCAAAAGAAATAGACTGGTCACCAAGAATGGTCTTCTTGTCAGGCCCCCTCTGTGTTTGACCAGTGTGGAATGGCTGTCTTCTGAAATATGCCATGTTCCTGGTTAGCACAGCCAACACATGCCCATCCCAGCAAGTCCTGTTCTTGGAGCAGCTCTTTCTAATTCTTGTTGTCCTACTTTATGGAAACTGTTGGTGGGATTCAGCAAGGGAGTTTGATAGCAGCAGTCTCCTGTATTTTCCTTTGTGCCTCCTCATACTTTCCCAAAGCTGTGTTCTAAGGATCAGAGACCCTGGGGAGCTTTCTTTCTGTGAAACTTCTGCAGTCTAGAGACTGAAGCCAGTGGCTGTGATCCCAGGCAATTTTGAGTTCTACTTCTGTCAAAGGCATTTATACTCAATATGTTTCATTGCTCATGGGTGATTGGAACAGCCCAGTTGGTGAAAAGCCAGGGAAAATTGGGGTTTAAAAAAAAATCCCAACTGCGTTATATCGAGCTCAAGCTGTCATGATGAAAACTTAAAGATTTGCTCGCTCAAGAAAATATCTCTGGATTTTTTCAGGCTGTGACTCTTCAATTAACCTGACATTTCACAAATCCAAAATTGCCGTGGATGAACTCTTTACTTCACTTTGGGATATTGCTGGAGCTCGCAATCTCATGAAACAGTTTAAGTCTGTATATGTTCCTGGAAATCATACCCACCAGGCAAGTACATGTTTTAAAGTAAACTCCTTCTGTTGTACTTTTGGGATTCAGAGACTGCCACTGCAAGAAAAGTTTTAGTTTTAACCTCTCTAAAATGAGGGGTTTGCTCCAGATGAATTCTAAGTTCCCTTTCAGTTTAGAGTTTGGTTTCCACTGAATCTGAAAGCCTCTCCATTCATTTGTGCCCCGGGCTTGATGCGGTAGGGCAAGCACTGGATTGGGAGTCAGCCATTGCTTTATAACTGTGAGTCTGTTACAGACTTATTCTACAGCCTTAGGCAAGTCCCTTCACTACTGTGGGCCCCAGTTACTAGAGGTACCAAATGAGGGCTAGTCTTAGATGATTCTCAAGTTTCTGGATATAAGAAGTCCATAAACATTTTGAACAATTAGAATAATAAAAGCATCTGATAATATCATGGCAAGGATAAAAGTGTTTGTGACAGGGAAAACATTTGTTATTTAAAATTCCCCCACTGGACTGAGGGCCTCAGCCATGCCCCCTACCCTGCCCCCCCATCTGCAACCAGCCCAGCAACGACCATGGATCCACCACTGGAAACACCCTGGGCTCCCAGGCAGGGGTGGGGCGGTTGCCCAAGGGCTTCAGCCACACCCCCCTGACATCTGCATCCACCCCAACAATGACCAAGCTGAGCCGCTGCTGGAAGACCCCTGGTCTCCCCTGTAGGAATGAGGGGGGTGCCACAGGCCTCAACCATGTCCCCCTCTTTCCTCCTCCCACACTATTTCTTTCCCCCAACTGCTCTACAACAACATATTAGAATGTAAAAAGATAATAATATTAATAAATGAATAAATTTTTTAAAAATAAAATAAAATTCCCCCAATAGTTTCTATGGAGGGTAGAAGAATGTATGAAAGAAGTTTTGACCATTGAACAGGAAGATGGTATGAGAATCCAAGATTAAAGGTACAATTGTTCTGTAAAAACACAGAGAAGAAGAATGCATAGAAAGACTCAAAGGGAAGCTTAAGGAGTGAACAAAGGCTGGAGCCATCAAAGCTGGGGAGTCTCTGTTGGACACAGTCGGAGACAGAACTAAAGTTCCTGGTGGCCAAAGATGAGTTTTCAGAGAAGAAAGGATGTTTCTGACAGTTTGGCTATGGGGAATCTTCTCCTCTACCTCATATGAATTCTGTAGTCAAATCTACGCTGTTTGTTAAGGCTTTTGGAGAGTTTAATATGCTATTAGTGAGGACAATGACAGAGTGAGGAGTTCAGCTTTGGGGTGCTGACTCTTTAAGGGGACGTAGTCAAATCTACGCTGTTTGTTAAGGCTTTTGGAGAGTTTAATATGCTATTAGTGAGGACTATGACAGAGTGAGGAGTTCAGCTTTGGGGTGCTGACTCTTTAAGGGGACGTGCAGACAAGAGCTCACGTTACCCACTACAGGCTAGCAAAATCCAGATTCTCCCGTGTGCTCGCACAGTAGCTGATACATGAAGAGTACTTCTGTGTCTGGTTTTTCCCTTGATTCCCACAAATAAGCCAGGAAAGTGTTATTATCCCAAGATCCAGGAAAGCCTGTGACTTGCCACAGGCACACAGGTGGTCAGGGGCAGGTGCCGGGTCTTTGGCACCAACACAAAACCTCCTCCCCCACTGTACCATAGTTTTATAGAGGTTCTAGAAGTATTGATTGATGGTGCTGATGGTCATCTGAAATCACCCACCAAGATACTAAAGACCTTAGAAATTGGCACTCCACCTACAAACAAAAAGATTCCCATCCTTTTTGCAAAGATCCAAGAACATCACTATCACAAAATACAGATCAAATCACTCAGATAATTTATCATATACAATTTTGTCATTTTAAAAAAATCAGCAACCTTAAATACTGTGTATGGAATAGTTCCAAAAAATGTGACAGAACTGGTGACATAGGATAAAATTTAGACCAAAAAATACCAAGAGGCAAGTGGCTATGATAGTTGGCAAAGAGAAAATAAGTCACTAAATTAATGAGGTCTTTTCCATTTTATGATTATCGTGGTGACTGATTTGGCCAACTTCCCATAAGCATGTGTTAGCTATGCATCTTGGCCATGATAAGGGCAATGATAAGTTTCCTAGACTTAATCTCCCTGCTGTCAACACAACACTGTCATTTCTTCAGGCCTCAAACCCTGCCCTGCAGCCATGGCCTTTGGAAAATGAACATTCCCTTTGTTGCCT